TTATGAGAGGATCTGGGCATGACGAATCAGTTGGTGACGATTCCTTCAGGGTCAGGAAGACTCCTGAAGTCAATCTAGGTGCCAAGATCCTCATGATCTCATAGATCTGGATATCATCCAGGCTGGCAGTGAGCCCCCTCTTACCTGCAGCCTCACCAATGTTCAAGTCAGAGCTTTCTGGACAACCCCATGCATGTCCCTGCCTGGCCCTCGCACACCCAGAGTATAGAGCGTTGTGTACAGCAAGTGAGCGAGGCCAGCAGTCACGTGTACAGCCAGGAGAGGAGGGAAGGCTACATCCGAGCTCAGGTGGTCAGCAGGGAGGCGATGAGTAGAAACAGAATCAAGAAAGACATGTTCTCTATGGTGTGCAGCAACACCGGGTCGTAGTAGTAAAACCGGTTTTTGTATTTGATGATTTTGTTTTCTACAGTAATGGAATATCAAATTTAATAAATGTGTCAAGATCATTCGTTTCTCTATTCTGGATCATTTTCATCCTAATAAATTAACCTGATACATTTACTTTACTTTAAATAAGCTATTTAGTGGTGTTGGTAAAAGGGTGGGAATACTGAATTTTCATAAGATTTCAAGTTAAAATTTACCTAGCAAAAAATAAAAACTTTTCAAATCTGAAGATATCACATGATTCTGCACATAGAACTACATCATTAATACCATGGGCCGATTTTTCAAACTCAAAAAAAAAAAATTCGCCTCCGTATGACATACCCTATTGTAGCATGGTCACTGGTGTCGGTTTGAAGGATGAAAGGAAGATCAAAGTTAGGGGACGTCAATACAGGATCACTGGCCAGTAACTGCTTCAGTTATTAGAAGGAGTCCTAGCAGACAGTAGTCCAACAGAAGGAGACTCCCCACTGGTGAGATGGGCCAATGGGGCGGTGACAGCAGTGAAGTTAGGGCAGTAGCGACGGTAAAACCCCGCCATGCCCAGGAAGAGCATGAGAGACTTCCTAGTTGTAGGGGCAGGGTAGTTCAGGATGGCTTCGACATTGGCCTTCTTTGGTCGAACCCGGCCCCGGCCGATCACGTGTCCTAGGTAGGTTACAGTTGCTCTGCAGGTGGAAGTCTTGGCCAGGTTGATGGTCAGGTGTACCTCCTCCAACCTTTGCAGGATGGTCGACAGCTGTGCTAGATGGTGGGACGAAGTCTCTGAAAGGACCAGAATGTCATCCAAGAGCACATGAACACCTTCGAGGTCTTGTAGGAGGTAATTCATAAGTCTTCGGAAGGTGGCTGGACTATTCCTCATCTCAAAAGGCATAGCTGGATACTGATATAGGTCAAAAGGAGTTATGAATGCCGAGATTGGCTGGACTTTTCCAGAAAATCTTACTTGATAGTAAGCTTTAAGTAAGTCTAGTTTGAAATGAATTTAGATTGACCAACTGAATCAATTTAACCTTCTAATCTTGGTATGGGATAGGAATTTGGAACCGTCACAGAGTTAACACCGCGGTAGTTTATGCATAGGCATAGTGGGCCACCTTCCTTGGGCACCAGAAAGCAAGGAGAAGCCCAAGGGGAATGCTTGGAACTGCCAGGCCGTTCTTCAGCAATTAGTCCACCTCGTCTCTCATCTGCTGCTGTTTCTTTGGATGGAGTCTGTAGGGTACCTGGCATATAGGAAGGGTTCCAGGTGTTAATTCAACATCATGTTATATTATTGCACAATGGCCAAGGGTGTCAGAGAAAACTATTGGGTTATTTTGAATTAGGGAGGCCACATCTTTGATTCGGCTTGAGGTCAGATGTTCCAAGTACAAGGCTAGGTTGTTTATAATTTCAGAGTTTTCCATACCATTCCCTGGAGTCGTTGGATCTTTAGTAACTGCAGTATTTAGAATGTGGCAAGGTAATCTCGGGAAGTCCTAGGCAGGTTCTCTACTTAGAAAGGATTTGAGAAAATTTATGTGGATTAGCTGGGTGGCATTCCTATGTTCTGGTGTCGAGATGATATAAGTAACTTTATTAATTTTCTTCTGCACTACATAGGGGCCATGGTACTTTGCTGTCATGGGAGAACCAGGAATACGGAAGTAGGCTAATACCTTGTCTCCAACACTGAACTCCGTAATCTTGGCCCAAACTTCTCTTAAGTTGCAACTCCACTAACTAACCTTGTGAGCCTAAGGAAAAAATTCAGTTGGACGTCTGCTTGTCAAGAAGCCTTCAACAGGATATGTACTCTGCTCACCAATGCACCAGTTCTTCGAGCACCAAACTTCAGCCAACCATTCATCCTTCAAGTAGATGACAGTGACTTAGGGGCTGGAGCTGTATTACTCAAAGAGGGACCAGACAAGATTCTACATCCGGTATGTTATGCTTCAACCAAGTTCAAGAAACAGCAGGAAAACTATGCTACAGTAGAAAAAGGATATAATGCATTGCTGTATGAACTAGATAAGTTTAATGTGTACCTCACTAGCTCAGATGATCATATTATTGTTTATACTGATCATAACCCCCTAAAATTTACAAATAAAATGCAGAATAAGAATCAAAGATTAATGAGGTGGTCTCTTGTCTTAAAGAAGTATAATTTAATCATAAAACATATAAAGGGAAATGATAATGTAATTGCAGATTTGTTGTCTAGAGTGTAAACAAGTTCTTTCCTTAGATTTGTTTAGCATCCGAATAAATCTCTTTAGGGGGGAGATGTTAAGTGCAACGTATCTCATGATAGAACTACCCTTAACAACCAAATACTTCATGAGTTGTACATCCCTGCTAGACGTACTGTAACTGTGTATGTATTATTAATATATATTGTATGATTATATATTTTTTTGGACTAGAATTACATTGTTTTTTTGTGAATAGTTTATAATATTCAATTCTGAAATAATATAATAGCATTAACAATGACATGTTAAATATGATGCTTGGGTCAGTCTGCTCAAAGCAACCCACAGAAGCCGACGGCGTCAGAGTCGGGTCAGTAGCTCACAAGCTTGGGTAGTCATCAGACCTTCACCACTGGCCTGCATTGTCAGTTCACTTCTGTCTTCGATCGAGTGATGTACTCATGGTATTCATTGTTGAGGATGGCTGGCTGTTTTGGTGTTTTGTATATATATGTTCTAGAATCGTGTATTGATTTGGCTGTCAGTGATATTGACATCCTTAAAGTAACCTAGTATGTTCATGTGATTAGCTTTATTTCATTGTTATTAGTGGTAAACATTTGTAAATATAGTTATCCATTTTGTTTAAGTTCTTTACTCCTTATCATCAAGTATTCAGTTATTAAAAGGGGCTGCATTCAATCCATACATTACACCGTAGTTGAAGTTCTTCTCAATACAAATTTTAGAACCATACATTGTAATTCTCTTTAAATACATTCACTTTTAGCTTATTTCGAGCCTTAGCCCTTTAACACTACCTTCAAACCAGCACAACACCACCAGCAGTAGTCCATAATACAATTCGTCGTCCACACTCCTGGGAGAAGAGGAAAACAGTCATCGTAGGCAGCAGAGAAGAGACTGAGCATACCAAGCAGATACACTTGCCTCCATACCTCCTGTCTCATAGTCAAATGGGAAACTGGTCTCATAGTAGGATGGGAAACTGGTTCTGAAACGGTGCTCACTGGGGTCGAGTAGCTTCATGAAGCAGTTTCTTCTCCTGGTGTCAAGTTGGTGCAAGTGATGGTTTTGGTGGCAGAGTGAGGAAGGGACAGAGTCGTTACAAAAAAAAAATATATATATATATATATATATATATATATATATATATATATATATATATATATATATATATATATATATATATATATATATATGCAAGTAAATCACTATAGGTGTGCGTGATCCAGGTATATGCTGATAACCACAAGGAAAAAGAAAACACGAAGTTCCCAAGCGCTTTCGTGTAATTCACATCTTCAGTGAGACTAAGGTATATATATATATATATATATATATATATATATATATATATATATATATATATATATATATATATATATATATATATATATATATATATATATATATACATATATATATATATATATATATATATATATATATATATATATATATATATATAGATCCACAATGAAAATGTAGATGAGATAAATCTTGAATAAAATAAAAGCAAAGGTGCTCAATTGTTTACCTTTTCCTGTGTGATTTATCAATATATATATATATATATATATATATATATATATATATATATATATATATATATATATATATTATATATATATATATATATATATATATATAATCAACACCTCAACCCGCCAGGATTCGAACCCATGGCCCAAGAGCCCATGACTGTGACCGGGGAACGCTAACCGCTGGACCACTAGGATACTAAAAGCAGTCCTAGGCTTTGTTATATTTCACACAAAGCCTGTTCAATGAGCTTATGGCGCCGTGAACCTCTAATGGGGAATACCCGTATCACATAGGTGGTCAGAGTAACGTTTTACTCTGGTGGTCCAGAGGTAGCGTTCCCCGGTCACAGTCATGGGCTCGTGGGCCGTGGGTTCGAATCCTGGCGGGTTGAGGTGTTGATTGTATGTAGAAGTCTGCGTGCTTTATTGGACTAATGAAATATATTTGGATCCTCATGTTTCAAAGCCAGATTTAGTAAAACATTACTCTGACCACCTACGTGATACGGTTAGTCCCCATTCGAGGATCACGGCGCCATAAGCTCGTTGAACAGGCTTTGTGTGAAATATAACAAAGTCTAGAACTGCTTTTAGTATCCTGGTGGTCCTGAGGCAGCGTTCCCGGGTCACAGTCATGGGGCCGTGGGTTCGAATCCTGGCGGATTGAGGTGTTGATTGTATGTAAAGGTCTGCGTGCTTTATTGGGCTAATGAAATATATATATATATATATATATATATATATATATATATATATATATATATATTTATTTATTTATTTATTTATTAATTTATTTTAGTATTGTTTATGGTAAGACTTACTTCTTCGTTAGGTACCAGCTACTGCCTGCCCCGGGTAACTTGTGGGGTGGACCACTGCCCAATGGGTCCTGGACGGGCATGTTGGGTATGTTGCAACGACAGGTCAGTGATTCTCCCTCTGCCCCCCCTCTCTCTGTCTATCTATTTATCTCTATGCAAGAAAAATTGGGTATATAATCTCTTACTACCACAACTTAAATATCACCCCTCTCCCCGCAGGAGGTGGAGCTGGCCATCGCGCCGTTTTTCGTGACAGATCAGAGAGAGATGGTGTGTGACTTCTCAGATCCTGTGTACATTGACCACCAGTCCATTCTTATGGTTAGACCGCAGATACAGAGTGATTTATCTGGCTTTTTCAAACCTTTCACCTCCCAGGTTGGTTATAGTGGACGTGTTGACGTTCATGTTTATTGTTTAGTCGTTTGTTAGCTACTCTGGGGAGGATTATAGCTTTGATCTTTCAGTGCATTTGCCTAACTGTGTTTTTATAATTATCGTTTTTTCATCATCTTTATCACTATGCTAACTCCTGACAGGTGTGGATATTGGTACTGATGAGTCTTGTGTTGGTCATTGCGGCGATGAACAGTGTAGTAAGGTGTGAGGCTAGAATTTTCCACATCCAGCACACCTCCACCTGCTCTAAGATCACTTTGTGGGTCATCAAGGCTCTCAGCCAAGAGAGTAAGTCCTTCACGTTGTTAATGAGTTGCAGCGCTTGGCAACCTCAATACCGGAAGTAATTATTATATTGCTTTCAGTAAGGACATTAGAGCAAATTACTGAGGTTCAGTTCGTTTCTTTGTTAAAATACTGTGTCGGTTTTCCCTTAAAATTAATAAATTATATTTGTTCCTGCTGTGTTCATAGCGACCACACGACTCCTTCTTTCCTACATGGCCATGGTGACCCTTCCTACATCCTCCCACAGGCTCTGAGTGGCTGCCCAAGAAGGACGGAGGCCGTCTCATTGTGACCACGTGGCTCCTGGCCTCCTTAGTGTTCATGTCCTCCTACAGCGGCATCCTGACGGCCATGTTGACGGTGCCTCGGGTCACCATCCCCATAGACTCCTTGGAAGATCTGGTGTCTCAGACTGACTTGCCCTGGCGCTTGGAGGCTGCTTCTATGATGTACTCTTTTTTCGAGGTAAAATTTAATTCACCAAAGAGCTAGAAATTTACAAAAATGTTATATTTTCATATTATCTGTATCACCAAATTAAATTTTAATAGCTGACAAAAGTGTATATTTTCAAAGTGTTATCCTACAGGAGTCAGAGGAAGATATCGGTAGAAAGGTGTTCGCTGAGAAGGTCGGAACCTTCCAGGACTGCTGGGCGGCGCGTCAGAATATTGCCAGCGGGGAGTTCGCTGCCATCTGTGACAGCACCACTATGATGAAAGCCATGTCCTGGGACTTTAGGTGAGGCCATTAAAAGACCTTTAATTTGTCTTTTTTCTTCGTCTAGTTAGTATTAATAAGTTATACGCCCTGATATTTATATAGCCATGTTTTGATACGATAGGTGTGTTTAAATAAAGTCCTACTTCTCTGAGGTCATAATTTAGGAGTTTGTAAGACCTTTAGTACCTGCATATCTGTATATATCACTACAATGAAAATCAGGCTTACTTATTTTCCCAATAATTGTAGGAGAATAGGCTTTCGTAAAAATATATATTGTTTCACTCATAAAACATCAATAGAATACTATTAGATATGATTCACTGACAGGTAAACATTAAGGTAAATATTATTAACCACAGTGATAGAGAGAAAGTTATCATGTGTTATAGCACGACTGGCAGGTGTCATCTGTACATCTCTCGGGAGAAAGCTTACAGCAACGGGATTCTCTCTATCGCCTTCAAGACCAAGTCCAGATACTTGTCTCAGGTGAACAAGATGTGAGTTGTGGTTGTGGTGTTTATTGCGAGTAATTGTATGAATTATGAGAAAATATTTTTTTTTATAATAATATATTCTTATCTCTCTCTCTATTTACGTGCATATACGTTCATATATAAGTGTGTACAATTAGGGAAACCTCAAAATGAGTGCTGATGTCAAACGTGACAAAAGTGTAAAGAACCTGGGTGGTGGACCAGCCATCAGATGAATGAACAGTGTTAGTGTTGACGATCTCTTAAACCCCTAAAGATATTAACAAACGTCTTTGGTTGTCATGTTTAGAGAATCATCCTGATTGTTGAAAGGTTTTTAGATATCCCCGTTTATAAAGGCAAAAAGTCATTTCAACTGTAAAAGGTCATTAATAAGATAGGAGAAAGATTACGTGAAATGTGACTTCGATGTCCGTAAATGTTTACATATTGTACTTGTTATAATGTCTCTTATACTACACTGAGGATTTTGTGTTATTATTTTACGTCTCACAACAGTCTCGCTCACCTCAAGGAGACAGGCCACCTAGGCAAGTGGCTTGGAGAGCAGATCACCAATACGTCCGTCTGTCTCAAGCCTCCTTCAGCAGACATTGGCGATGGTATTTCACCTCTGAATCTTCAAGCTTTTGCCGGGCCATTCTTAGTCCTGTTAGTCGGTAAGTTAATTACTGAGTATGTTTTTGTTTGTTTTTTTATCATCATATGTCCTGATGTAAGTTGTGTTGATAACAGAGGCATCGAGGGCAGATGAGGAAATGCAGAATACTGTATACGTAATAAAATATCATCGCATTTTTTTCTAATAATCTACCAGTGTTAGTGAGTGTGTGTTGGTCGCCGCCAGGTGTGGGAGTGGCTTTGCTAGCCTTCATAGGTGAACATCTCCTCAACAGCTGTTATAAGGACAGGCTGGACCAGCATGAGTCAGGCGAGATGCGTTAAATGGGAGCATCACCCCCACCTACCTGACCATCACCACCACCTATCTGGCCATCACCTCACCTGCCTGGTAGTCACCTCCACCTACCTGGATATCACCTCCACCTACCTGGTCATCACCTCCACCTAACTGGCCATAACTTCAACCTACCTGGCCATCACCACCACTTACATGGCCATCGCATCCACCAACCTGGATATCACCACAACACACCGGCTACATCATGTTATGTACAGCATATTTAGTTTGCATGTCGTTCTTTTGTATTTCGTTATTAAGCTGGAAACATGTAGTTTGTTTTTGAGTGTTAGCTCACAGCCTACGTCCGTGACTATACCATAAGTTACACAACATCAACTACACTACCTCATTAGGCGGGTGTCGGCCCCTTCCAGGGCTAAACCTCCCACAAGTTTATACATTTTTTATTTTTTATTTTTTTTATTTTTTTGAAGCGGTTCCAATTTTGAGAGTGGGGGTTCATATTAAATTTCACACAGACACGCAAATGAAATAAATAAATATATATATATATATATAATCAACGACCTCACCAGCCAGGAATCGAACCCTCGTTCATTATATGTTCAAAGTCCGCGTGTTATATGGACTAAAAATGAAGTATATATATATGTATATATATGTATATATATATATATATATATATATATATATATATATATATATATATATATATATATATATATAATTTATATATATATATATATATATATATATATATATATATATATATATATATATATATATATATATATATATATATATATATGCTGATAACCACAAGGAAAGAAGAAAACACGAAGTTCCCAAGCGCTTTCGTGTAATTCACATCTTCAGGGGTGAGTACAGACTAGAGAGAGTAATACAAATCAAGGTGTATATATACAGAGGAGGGTGAGACCAGGTCCACAATGGTCAGGTATTAGGTAATGACCCTACTAATCTTTAAATAGCACACAACGGTTGGTGGTCAGGTCAGATGGTCAAGTGACCCGGCCTTCTCACCTGATCACAAATCTTCTTAATTACAAAATTGTCCAGCTTGTACATGCCGTTACTCAAATTCATGTTGAATGCTTCGGTATGTTTAATAAGACTAGATTCTATGATGTTCCTACTGTCAATTGAATTACATGGTAATATTGAGGAGGCATTATCCCAGTCAATGCAATGCTTGTTATCCCTCAAATGAACAAACAGAGCATTGGATTCCTGGCCTGTCCTAACACTGTATTTGTGTTGTTTAATTCTAGTTGCAAGATCTTTACCTGTCTGGCCTAAGTAAAACATATTACATTCCTTGCAAGGAACTTTATAAATGCAACCAATTGTGTTGTTGGGGGAGTTCTTGATTAACATTTGTTTAACAGTGCATGAGTTTTTAAATGCCACATTGACGTTCCAGGTTTTTAGCTGTGCAGGAATGTGTGAGAAATTTTTGTGAAATGGTAATATTAAGATATTCTTATGGTCATGGGTGGGCTTGGGATCAGTTCTATAAAAAGTTTTCTTAGTAATGTTTAAGCATTTGTCTATGAAAGATCTAGGGTATTTAAGGTTTGAGCCAATATTATATATATATTTGTATTCCTCATCGATGAATTCCGGACTGCAAATTCTCAAGGCACGTAAAAACATTGTTGAAAATACTGACTGTTTGACTTTATTATGGTGGGCAGAATAATAATGAATGTATGAACACACATTAGTTGGTTTTCTATAAATACTGAACTTAAAAGTGTTACCTATTCTGTGTATCAGACAGTCTAGGAATGGCAATTTACAGTCTTGCTCTAATTCCACAGTGAATTTGATCGAGGGGGCTAAGTTGTTAAGTTGTGGCAGGAAAGCTTTTAGGTCCTCATTACATGGCCAGAGACATAATACATCATCAACATATCTAAACCAGACTGCTGAGGGTGGTAAAATATTACTTAATAGTTTCTTTTCAAAGAATTCCATATATAGGTTGCTTAATACAGGTGAGAGTGGATTACCCATTGCCATACCAAATTTTTGAGCATAATATTCCCCATTGAATTCGAATTTGCAATCCTTAATACATAGTTTGATGAGTTCGATGAAGTCGTCGTTCGAGACTGGCAGAGAAATGTTATCCAGGGAATCTATGAGGAACTCTAGTAAATCATCAACTGGGACCTTTGTAAAGAGTGACGTTACATCAAAGCTGACCAGTTTAAAATCATGATTAATGTGTAAGTTATTGAGTTTATCAACCAGATCCATATTATTCTTGATATTGGAGTTAGAAATGTCTGGTTTAGATGTGTTGATGATGTATTATGTCTCTGGCCATGTAATGAGGACCTAAAAGCTTTCCTGCCACAACTTAACAACTTAGCCCCCTCGATCAAATTCACTGTGGAATTAGAGCAAGACTGTAAATTGCCATTCCTAGACTGTCTGATACACAGAATAGGTAACACTTTTAAGTTCAGTATTTATAGAAAACCAACTAATGTGTGTTCATACATTCATTATTATTCTGCGCACCATAATAAAGTCAAACAGTCAGTATTTTCAACAATGTTTTTACGTGCCTTGAGAATTTGCAGTCCGGAATTCATCGATGAGGAATACAAATATATATATAATATTGGCTCAAACCTTAAATACCCTAGATCTTTCATAGACAAATGCTTAAACATTACTAAGAAAACTTTTTATAGAACTGACCCCAAGCCCACCCATGACCATAAGAATATCTTAATATTACCATTTCACAAAAATTTCTCACACATTCCTGCACAGCTAAAAACCTGGAACGTCAATGTGGCATTTAAAAACTCATGCACTGTTAAACAAATGTTAATCAAGAACTCCCCCAACAACACAATTGGTTGCATTTATAAAGTTCCTTGCAAGGAATGTAATATGTTTTACTTAGGCCAGACAGGTAAAGATCTTGCAACTAGAATTAAACAACACAAATACAGTGTTAGGACAGGCCAGGAATCCAATGCTCTGTTTGTTCATTTGAGGGATAACAAGCATTGCATTGACTGGGATAATGCCTCCTCAATATTACCATGTAATTCAATTGATAGTAGGAACATCATAGAATCTAGTCTTATTAAACATACCGAAGCATTCAACATGAATTTGAGTAACGGCATGTACAAGCTGGACAATTTTGTAATTAAGAAGATTTGTGATCAGGTGAGAAGGCCGGGTCACTTGACCATCTGACCTGACCACCAACCGTTGTGTGCTATTTAAAGATTAGTAGGGTCATTACCTAATACCTGACCATTGTGGACCTGGTCTCACCCTCCTCTGTATATATACACCTTGATTTGTATTACTCTCTCTAGTCTGTATTCACCCCTGAAGATGTGAATTACACGAAAGCGCTTGGGAACTTCGTGTTTTCTTCTTTCCTTGTGGTTATCAGCATATATATATATATATATATATATATATATATATATATATATATATATATATATATATATATATATATATATATATATATATATATATATATATATATATATATATATATATATATATATTTATCAAGATTTCCATTCAACCACGTTTTCTACTGTGATCTACATGAAATATATATATATATATATATACAGTATATATATATATATATATATATATATATATATATAATATATATATATATATATATATATATATATATATATATATATATATATATATATATATATATATATATATATATATATATATATATATATATTCCTGTTAGAAAAGAATACATTTACATTGTTACACTACATGTAGATATTACACCTAGACTGCAATTAACCCTTTAATCTTTAGACAGCAGCGGCGCAATTATATATTTTATTCTGGCAAATTCCTGACGATTTTATTCAGCTGAGAGAAACTTTTACCCAAATTCAAAGAATCACTCCTCACTAGGTACACTCGGTAAAAAACTATATTTCAGTAGGGGTCCAATGAATTTGGAACTGAACAATCCTGTTGTCTCACTAGGGTTTGTAGGCATGATTGTGAGACATTTCATACCTATTATGTTTGGCCTAATTTAGTTATTTAATTCGAAATGTAAAATTAGTTCTTTGCAATTTGATTGGTGAATAATGGTATGACTCATCGGCCTTTATAAAAAATTGTTCGTGGTGTCATTTTGTTTCGCACAAGAATTGTAAAGACACTTTTTACCGAGTGTACATATCTCAAGTACTTCACGTTGTTGACAACTTTCTCCCTTGATGTATATTTTAGTGTTGAGAAATGTTCCTTTTGTCTTCTTTTGTTATGTGTAATAAATGTAAGATGCATTGATATTTCTTTCTCTTACCTTTGACCTTTTCAGATAAGTCGCTATTAACCCACTACGGGGACACCACTTTTAATATTTTATTTGGCTAACGCCAGATATTACACTGAAGAGACCAACGTCGAGGAAAATATATAAAAAGACGACTAGAAGACTAAAAAAAGGAAATAAAAGAATGATAATGAGAAAAGAGGAGAAACAAAAGAGGAGTCAAGACAAGATGAGACAGGGTTCATAAAGTCCTGAAGTGTTTTATGCGTCAAAATATTAAATTAATCACAAAAAGAATACTTAGAGTGAATCATACAAAACAAACGGATACTTAAAGACCCTCGATGGCAGGACTTCATAGTTATTCCTTGACGTGTCATATAGCAAGTAATATTGAAATAAACGAAATGACTGAAAATGAAAATTTACTATTCTTTATGTAGTTTAGTGTCTTCAGTGTCTTTATATATACATACATATATCTATGTCTATATCTATATCTATCTATATATATATATATATATATATATATATATATATATATATATATATATATATATATATATTATATATATATATATATATATATATATATATATATATATATATATATATATATATATATATATATATATATATATATATATATATATATATATATATATATATATATATATATATATATCATTATATCGATATATCACGCCTATAAACTCATTATAGTTATCTGATGAATGACGACAGTAAATTATTATAAAACATTAGTAATGCTATTTTATTATTTCAAAGGCCTTAGCTTACCCCTGATTTGTACAAATTATAGATTTTCTGATTACATACTTGTTAATCTTAGTATTATATTCGGGAGGTTTAATCATTAGCTCGACATATATTTTATTTCATGAGGTAATTATGAGTCTTTCTTTCATTTACGTTTTCTCTATAGAAATTTTAAAACAATGAGACAAGAGAAGCGGCTCTCAACATTCAGTATTGGCTGGTATGGTCATAACAAATCTAAGGCAATAACATAAATTTTCAACAATTCATATCACTATTTCATTTACATCAGCGTCATAGGAAAAAA